AGTCGGGGCGGACGGCCGCTGGGGAAGGAGGCGACCCGTCCGCAGACATCCCCCCCCGGCCCGGAGGGAAGAGACACCCCTCCCCTCACCAACTCCATAAAGGGATCCCCCATTGTTAGAGTCTCTCTCCACTAGGCCACGCTGCCCTATGCTAGGGGAGCGTAGCTACAGACTCCGACTGCTAGGCCACGCTGCCCTGAGAGGGCATAACCCACCTGGCGGGTAGCATGCCCTACCTCGATGAGGAGAGAGCGGGTCAGAAGTTCGACCCCGCTGCCCTGACAGTCCGAGGAGGCCGTGGGTGCAAGGCTATTTGAGGGGTGGCTTAGCCAGACGTCGCCTTGGTTCCAGGCCGGGCTCCTACCTGATGCGCTTGGGGCCGATCTGGGCCACGTCCTCGTCTGCAAGGGAAGAAACACGTTGATTGGGTGTTCCCTTCCCCCCTCGCCGCCAGAACGCGCGGGAGACGAAAGCCTTCGGGAATCGCCAGCGAGCCGTTTCCCGCGGACGCTGCGCCTGCAGGGAGGGCTCCTGGTGCCAGATCTCACGGAGCTGGCGGGATTATAGGGTGCCCAATAGACCAGTGCGTCTTAAACTGTGTTCTGAGGCACAAGAGTTCAAAATGGCCACCTTAAAGGGGTAGGCGACTTTTTTTTTTTTTTTTTTAAATCAACAAAAAATCCTTGGCGTTCCTCATAAAAAAACTCAACTGTTTGGTGTTCCTCGGTCTTAAAAAGTTTAAGAAACACTGCAATAGACCTTCTCGGGGCTTGAAAAGGGCTCCGGAGAGACACCAGGCGCCTGTTTCCCTTTGTTTGCTTCCGACGCCCATGTCCGTCCTAGCAGATCTGCTACGGTGTGCCCCCAGGGAAGGCCACTCGCTCCTGCCAGAGCGCTTCATTTGGAGCGCTTTTGAAGCGGAGCACTCAGGATGGTGCTGGTCCGCCTTGGAGCGCCCACAGATGTAAAACGATCCCTGGTCACAGACGAGATCATTGTAAGATGACTCTTGCCTCTTCCAGGATGTCCAGGCCTCTCTGCCGTCCCAGTGGACACCACAACGCCTGCCGGGCGCCAGGAAATTTGGCACGGCGTTGCCAATTTCACGTTTTGTCGGGTCAGCAGAGAGGCCGGGGCACAGACCCTCCAAGATCTGTAACCCCGAAACGCCTTTGAGGGTTGGGGCGTGATTGTCCCCAGGGACCACGTGGCATTCGTTGTAGGCTGGGCACCCATCCTGGCCTTTCTGATAAAGGGGTGCCCACGCAGAAAGGATCCAGGGCTGTGCGCGGCTCGCTTGCAGGAATCATTAGGGTTCAGGGTAAACTGCCCCAGATGAACAGCTGGAAAATATATTCAGGCTGAACTTCTGAAATCCAGGACTCTCTGGTCCGGCAACCTCCGAGGACTGATATCTACCACAGATATTGCTGAACCAGAGACACCTGACCCTGATTAATAAACTCCCTGGTTTGGCACTGCTCAGACCCAGAGGATGCCAGACCAGGGAAGTCCAGTCTGTAAACACAGGACTCGCAGCATTTGATTTTTTGGTGTTGTTATAACTGGGCCCTCACTGTCAGTTTTTCAAGAGGACACAGCAGCTCCTAACCCAATAACGAACATTTGGCCATTAACTTTGCAACCTTTCTCCTAAGGCTTTTGCTATGAAACATCCCAATTTTTAATTAAAGAGAGTGACAGCACAAGAAGACCAAAGGAGAAAGAATCACTCGACAGTTTCAAAGCTCTGATGTCTTGCAATCGAGATGGAAACAGAAGCAGATCGACTATGCAGCACGGACGTATTTGCTAAGACATCCCCTTGGTGGCTGTGTCTAGACTGGCAAGTTTTTCCACAAAAGCAGCTGCTTTTGTGGAAAAACTTGCCAGCTGTCTACACTGGCTGCTTGAATTTCCGCAAGACCACCGACTTCCTACTGTCTGAAATCAGTGCTTCTTGAGGAAATGCTACGCTGCTCCCGTTCGGGCAAAAGTCCCTTTTGTGCAAAGCTTTTGCGCAAAAGGGCCAGGGTAGACAGCTCAGATTTGTTTTGCGCAAAAAAGCCCCGATCGCAAAAATGGCGATCGGGGCTTTTTTGTGCAAAAGCACGTCTAGATTGGTCACGGACGCTTTTCCTCAAAAAGTGCTTTTGCGGAAAAGCGTCCGTGCCAATCTAGATGCTCTTTTCCGAAAATGCTTTTAACGGAAAACTTTTCCGTTAAAAGCATTTGTGGAAAATCATGCCACTCTAGACGTAGCCGGTGTGTTTATCACGGGCACTATGGTGATACAAATAATAATGAAATGATAATAAATCTCGACTAGGACAGTTAGAACCAAGCTGCTCTTGAATAAGTCCATAGTTTGCATGAAAAAAATCATTAAAACCTTTATGAAAAATCCACTCCGGGCAATACCTTAAGAGAGGAAATGGTTTTATTTTTGGACAGTTTGACATTGATCTTCAATCCTTACTCCGCACAAAATAACTAGAGTCTACCGTCGTTATAGGGTGAATAAATACAGTTCTCCTGTGCAACACACATGATTAGATGGTAGTATTTGCCAACAGTAAAAAGTCTTGAAACATATTGTAGTGCATAAAGATGATATACAGTTAAGGACAAGCGATTTAGTAGTAATCATGTTCAATATGTTCCATTGAACACAGAGGGAGATTGGTGACACACTTCGGTGCCACCTTCCAACGTCAATCTTGCTGCCACTTCTGTGGTTAGCGGTCCACGGTGGGATGTCCTGACAAGAGAAGAAAGTTAGAAAATAGCAAAACCGCCGTGTGTGTGAAGAAAACAGAAACTCAGAGCCACCGTCGAGCGGATTACTGATGTCAGATGTCGGTTAGGCACCGAGGCTGCTCAACGATTTGCAGCACCGTATCGTGCAGACACGTACTGTCCTCAGACAGGGTGATGGTTACTTACAGGCCGGCCAGGAGATGAGTCGACTCCAACAGAACAGGTGCGCCAGGGTGCGGTGCTGTCTTGCTGCTCTCTCTCTCTTGCTCCTCTGATGTTTTGTTTTTTCGTTTTCTGCTGGCCTCACAGTGGCTACGGCAAAAACCACACAGCCATGTACAACTGCGTTGAGCCAAACCGGCACTTCCTTTCAACCTTCAAGGGACACCATCAACGACAAGTTCAGTCAATTTCGACAAGGAGTGGAAAAGTCAGGTCTGTGCACGTGGCTTTCAATGGGAGTTTGGCACGTCACTGGGGGCTTTTTGAAAATCCCGCGGGGCACATACGTGGCTTTGAAAATCTGGTCCTAAATGCCTTCTTACAAAGGGCTGGCAAACGCACAAAGTAAATGTAACCCATGCACCTAGTAGGGAGCTATCTCGTTAAGAGACCCCTGTGGGGGAGGTCGGAGTGCTACTGTGGCTGGGCAGACTGACCACTCCACCCAGTGTGTGTGGGGGAAACCAGCTGGTGGGAAGCAGGGCTGGCGGAAGGGGAAAGGGCTGGTCAGGGGCAGTGGGGCTGGCCAGGGGAAATCGGGGGGGGGGGAG